CGCTCGGGGCTCCATTTATCAGTGAATTGACACCCTCGGACCTTAGGGTTCGGAGACCTGCGCCCACTGCTATTTCTTCATGCTTGCGGCCGCTATTATAGTGGGTTGCGGCACCGCTAACTTTCTGCGTCTGATTTCGGGCAGGCGCATCTTTGGCTTGTCGGCCTCAAGACACCCTGCCACCTCCCGGGTGGTGCTTTTCTTATTTCATTTGCGCTGCGGGGCCTCCGAACAGTGATTGACGACTTTGGGGCGTAGCGGAACCTTGATGGTTTCCTCCCCTTATCCCGATGCACCGTTTTCGTGAGGTGGGTTGCCCTCTGGGGAGTTTAGGCATTTGAGCCCAAAGGGTCTTGGTTGGGGGGGCGGTCGTCCTTTAGTGGTTTACTTAGTAACCAGGCTGCGTAGCGTACGTGTTTGTAGATAGCGAGCGGGCTGCCATTGAGCACCGCTATATAAATTGTTGATAAAAAAAAATAAAAAATGAGCAAGTAAAGACCGGCGGTTCGATAGACCTCCATCCCAGATGTCATCATTGGGTTGTTCATTTCTGAGAAGTTGTTGAATGAAGTTATCCACCTCAAGAACCTGCTGGTTCACAAAGTTGATGTGTTGAGTATCGTTGTAGCACATGCCAATCATCCGAAGAAACTCCTTTTTCTTATTCTCTGACCACAGACCAGATGGAGAAGAATTTGTTGATAGAAGTGGTGGAACCAATCCATAGTACAGCCAAGCTATGTCAAGAATCTCTTCCTGCATTCTATCTGCTCCCAGATTTTGTGCTTCAGCCAGTGGAAAATAGGGATGGGCGTTCACAAAGACGGTGCTCTGCAAAGTTGTCAGATCCTGGTTATGAGCTTCTCGAGGAAGGTATGATTCTTCAGATTCAATGTCGATATGCAAATAAAATTCATTCCATTCTTCTTGAGCAGCAGCAGAAGAGTAATTGTTGGGAGGATCTGGAAGAGAGAAGTGCTTGCTACAATGCCAAGCATTTTCAAAGGCATTGTAGATCTTTTCCTTGACAGAAAAGGTGTTGAAAGCAATTCTTCTCATCTCTGGAATAACGCAGGTCCAAATAAAACAATTCTCCTCATACATAGCCCAAATGTAAATTGTTGCCAATTCGATGGGAGGATTATTAGCTCTGGCTAGATGGACTTGACAATCTAAAGGTTGTTCTTGCTTCTGGTGTTCCTTCTCATATATGGCCTGTCTGCCACGGTATGCATTCCATAATACGTTGAAAGGTTGTGAGGACTTGAAAATTTCTGTATTGTCAAAAAGATTGATTGAATTCTGTTGAAATTTTGGGGCCTGGAAAACAATAGTGTGGGCTTCTTGTAGGAGAATTGCTGGAGGGGCCCAAGGCTCTAGCGCTTTATTTGAAGCATGGATGTTTGTCCATTCATACCAGATTGGAACACCTAATTGCTGAAACCATTCTGGTGAGGGTTGTAATTCTTCTTGAGGAAGATAGATGAATATGCCAGCTCGAGGTATGATATGCTCAAAGGTGCAAACAATTGATTGATACAGAGACTGTAGCTGTCACGACCCGTCCCCGGCTCCTGGCACAATTATCCGGCTCTCGAGGCTGTATCCAGCTTCCAAGGCTTGTGGTAATGAGCCATGGTAACAGTATTGGCTGCAACTGATGGCTCTGTCCCTCAGTCCAACCAGTATCAGGTGGCTTTGGCTGCTATAATCTACAAGGGACATCGCGAGCTCGAGAGGACTCGCTATGTCTCTGGCAGAGTTACCGCCCCAGAAGCGGAACTCAATGCCATCTCATGCGCAGTGCGCCTTGCTGTCAAGCAGGCAAACTGCCAACATATTATGGTCTTTACTGACTCTATGAGCTCAGCCCATAGAGCGGTTGACCCCGGCGTGCATTCTGGTCAGGCTTTTAGTCTGTCAGTATGTCGCGCTCTTCAAGAGTGGTTTGAGGCAGATGATCTCTGCCACATTACCTTCGTCTACGTCCCATCCGCTCTGCGGTGGGATATCCATGGTGAAGCACACAAGTACGTCACCAAACTTAAAGTCAGGGTTGGACGCCGCAAGACAGACAACTCCATAGACACGCTACGCTCTCGAGCGGCGCACTCAGTCCTGGATTTGTGGAGCAGGATCCAACTTACCGAGGCTCTGAATTTTTAGAGCTTCAACAGCCTGACGGGCGGCCGCTACAGCCATCATACCTCAATGGGGGACCTTGGCTTTCAACATTCGGACACAGTATTACTGAGTTCGCCCGTGTTTGCCGGTGTATAACTGGCCATGCGCCCATTGGAGCGTATTACCGTCGCTTCAAGATCAACGAGCCTCATGGCTGCACTTGCGGGGCTGCTTTGCAGTCTCGCCAGCATATCCTCTTTCGCTGTCACGATAGATATTCTGTACACTATCCCCGTTTTCTCGGGGATATTGCATCGTTTATGAAGTACAACCCTATGGCGTTTGGCTTCAACCGGGACCCGTCGGGTGTCGGATAATCGTGGTGGGCGGGGTTGTTCCTCCTTTCGGGGGATTTATGGTGAATTGACACCACCGAGCTCTAGGGTTCGAAGACCTGCGCCTACCGCTATTTCTTTGCGCTTGCGGCCGCTATTGTAGCGGGTTGCGGCGCCGCTAACTCTCTGCGTCTGGTTTCGGGCAGGCGCATATCTGGCTTGTCGGCCTCAAGACACCCTGCCACCTCCCGGGTGGTGCGATTCTTATTTCATTTGCGCTGCGTGGCCTCTGAACAGCGTTCGACGACTTTGGGGTTTAGCGGGGCCTCGATGGTCTCTTCCCCTTATTCCGTGTCACCGTTTTCGCGAGGTGGGTCTGGCTTTGTGGGAGTTTTGGTGTTTGAGCCACAAGGCTCGTGGTTGGGGGGGCGGACGTCCTTTAGTGGTTTACTTAGTAACCAGGCTGCGTAGTGTACGTGTTTGTAGATAGTGAGCGGGCTGCCATCGAGCACCGCTATATAAATTGTTGATCAAAAAAAAAAAAAAAAAAAAAAAAAAGTAATGAGCCATGGTCTTCCGGGACACTTCTGAGACATCTGGGAACGAGCTGTGCACTTCCAAGGCACTTCCAAGGCGAGCCATGTTTCCGGCTCACTCCATTGTGTCTCCCAGCCATTGTCCCATTGTACTTCATTGTTCTCCTTGTCCCGGCTAAGTTATCTATTACATAATCATGGTCCATTATCCTATATAGCATAAATACCCATGTACAGTAGTAGATTCCTCAGTCAGAATATCGAACTCAACATACCCCCTTTGCTCTAGTTCACTGCTGGAATCCAGCTCCTCCCTGCTCATCCGAAATCGGGGACACCCAGACGTTGCGTGGTGGCGCAGCTGCCCTTTCTGTCAAGCTGAAGCCAAGTCCCCACCCCATCCGGCACAGTCGTTACAGTAGCCAAGCTTCTGAAAACCCTTTTTTGACAAGGTGGTGGTACCAGTTGTTGATAACTAGAGAAGGAATAGATGAAGATGATTTTGAGACTTCCTTCCACTGCGCCATTGCAACAAGATAGGACACAAAGCCTATCCAAACTCTAAACCAGTCTCTTGAGGCAGATATGGCCTTTTGTGAGGTGTAAAATGATTTGAAGTGGCAATTGTAACCCTGAGTCCATACACATGGAGGCTGCATTGATGGGAGCCCGTACTGTTGTCGTAGAGAACTGGCTACTGTGGACAGGTAATGTTCCAGAGCAGCCCAGCACTCACCATAAGATGGTGGAATAGTATAGCCTTCTTGCATTAAGACAGGATAAGGCAGGTGGGACAAGACACCAAACAAGTCTCCAGTAAAAACTGGGTGCTGAGGAATGAATGCCATCCATCCCCATCTTAAGTTCCACCACCTGGGTTGCAAGTACCAGGAAGGATTGTCATGTTTTTGCTTGAAGACATTGTTGAACCTTCCTTTGTCAGGATCTGGAGCAGGGAGAGCAATATCCAAGGTGCTGTTAGGAGAATAAATGATGTGCCCATTTAAAACAAGGACCCTTCCCTGGCTACAACCTGGTTTAGCAGTGGGCTATCAGATATCTCAAGGGCATAGACTGACGCAATGGGAATTGGCATGTTAAAGGTCCAAATGTCTGGGGGCTTGAATTGGTTTGGTACCATATTCAAAGCTTGAAAGGAGCTTGCTGATGAATAGAAAGAAGATAGATTGGGCTCAGAGAAGAGTGAATCGGTTCGGTACCATATCCACTTATCAAATATGCCCTGGAGGGATGAAGAAAGGAGCTAGATGGTAAGAAGATGAGGAAGAGATCAGAGGAAAGCAATTTGCTGGCAATGTAGACAAGTGCGTACTTGTATTTGTTGCACCTCTAAAGCAAACAAAGGACGGTGCAAAGTCCTAAGTGGCTCTGAGGGTTGAAGGCCTTTGCTGATACTTATGTCAGATGAATGAATAAATACATAATGTTCATATTTAACAAAATAAAAAGCTAGATACAATTAAATTATGGTACAGACAAGATACAAGGAGAGGGGGGAGGTCACAGAGGCAAAACGAGCGGGAACGACCCCGAACGTCACAGTTTGGGGTCGTTCATGCACCAGGGGCGTTGTTGGACGGCCCCTGGGGGTGTTGGATGGGCAAGAGGCAGCAGCAGAGGGCGAGGAGGGTGAGCAGGTGGTGGTCAGTGCAACACCAGTGTTGTTGGATGGCCCCTGGGGGCACTAGATGGTGGGAGGAGCCCGCTGACGGCGAAGTCACCAGAGGTGGTTGGAGCGTGCAGGCCAGTGGTCCAAAGTTGACATCTGCGTGTGACCTATGACGCACGAAAACTCTCCGAGAGTTTTCATGCGTCATTTATTTGGCTCTCTACAAACACTTGTGACGTTTGTGCAGCCCCTTCTTCTTTCACAACCGCCATCATCTGGACTCCTCCAGGCACTTTCCCAGTGCCTTCACCCTTTGTGGGTTCCTCTGATATTGTAGCGCTAGCTGGGGGCATGGGACCAACTCGGCCACCAGCTTAGCATTACTAAACAGCCACTACTTATCAAACCCTGTTATATCTGGTACAATGGCTTCTCTGGCCTCTTCTTTGGTGGTCTATCCCTTTGTCAGGCTCTCTATGAATCTTCAGGGACCCTCAGACCCCAGATTTGTTGTCTCTAATGGCACACTTATATCCTCGCCTTCCTGCCATGCCAATTTTCCTTATATTTATGAAGTACCAGATCATCTGCTCATCCTACACTGGCAGTATGTCAAGAGAATTCTGGTGTACATTCAAGACACATCCGATGAAGCCCTCCGCTCTATGTACAGTTGGGAAAATAAATTATATGTGCCTCTTGGACCTGATAACCTTATGAAACGATACGGTATGCTCTAATTATGCTGTCTCAGTCATTAACACCTAATTGTCAGGACTATTTTGTATCACCGATGGCACTATTATATATGCTAGACCTATTGGAAATGTTGAATCTGAAAAGGATCTAATTGTTGCATGGTGTTTTGATGGGTAAATTATGTTCTTTTCTTTTAAGAGATGATTCTGACACCATATATCTTAGTATGAGGCTACTCAACCAGACTCTCAGAGAGGACCTCCTCCGTCTCCGTGATGAGATTATGG